TCTAGATTCAGATTTTTTGCAGTGTGGCTATGTGTTTCCTGGACGGGGCTGCCTGTGGAGCTGGTTTACAAGTTCTTATTTTTCATCTATGCTTCTTTTTCTATGTCTGCTTCTGTCTCCTTGAACCCCAGTCGGCCTCAGCAGATGGCCGCTCACACTGAGCCTGGTTCTGCTGGAGGTTTCTTCCTGTTAAAAAAGGGAGTTTTTCCTCTCCACTGTGGCTTCAAGCATGCTTGGTGTGAGGGATTGCCTTCCAGTCAATGAGACAATACAATCACCTGGTTTTCCTTAGTTAAGAAACTGAACCAATCCGACTGTATGATCTGGATGAATTGTAAAGTGCCTTGAGATTACAGGTGCTTTGAATTGGATCTATAGAACCATTGGTTCTTTTATACATTATAGATTCTGTATCTTCCCCCAGTTTCCATCCTTTTTCTTTAGAAACCACTTTATTTTTTTTTTTACCTGATATTTTGGATAAAGGCGCGTGCATTAAAGGCTGGTTGGTCCAGTTGTACTGTCTATCTGTGGAAACCATATTTAGTAAAATTCCAAAAACAGAACACAATATTCATTATTAATGCATTTGCAGCAGCTGTGGCGTGGGGATAAAGCATGAGACCCATGTAGACTTTGATCCTGGTTCCAGCCTGGTTCCCCGCTTTCCCTACTCCCGTTTCCTGTCTGCCTAATTACAGAAATCATATAAAGAAAGGCCTCTACAGCCTAAAAAAAGGTTATTAAACTTATATGATTAAATATTTCCATCAACTTCAAAACTATTATTATTATTATCCACATTAATGTTACACATATATAAAACCAGCAAGTTTCAGTGCAAGAATTATAAAATAAGCAAGTACATTTTCTCTAAATAAGGTTATTTCTCCTTGATTTAAGCAATTAACTAAGACTAGTTACCAAAGGAAAAAGATATATAGATTAAGAAATTACAATTTCGTTATCTTATTTCAGGAGTGAAATATCTAATTGTGTTATTTTAAAAGGCAATAATATTTATTCCACTGACAGATTATCTTACCTGCTAAAATTAAAGGTGTATACACACTTTTTTTCAGGTCTTTTTGTGAAGGGAATTTGATCAACCTTTCTAATTGCTCTTTATAACAAATAAAGAACCAATAATTTAATGGTAGCAACTGAATCCATTGTAGAGTGTAGCCATGGTGAATTTCAAATTTAACCTGCTTCAAATGCATTACAGAAGTGCAGTGAAGGAGCCGTCTCTCGCACATGTACAGCTGGGTCCAAACAAATCTGAGTGAATAAATGCCATTTTGGTTCATTTATCCTAAGTTTTTTTTGATGCAGTGCATTATTGGCTGAAAATGTACCACTAAAACTGAGCAAAACATAGAAAATGTTCAGGTTGCTTCATGCAATCGTAGGATGTCGAATTGTTTGGACAAATTCTGACTCTCTGTTAATTAAAAAAAGGTCTTTACTTGTTTTATAACTATTTTCTTCATGGTTACTTTGTCTGAACACATTTATTATTGAGTCCTTCTTAGCCTAATAAATTCCCATTTTATCTTGATGTGGTTTGTTCATGTTTGTATTTTTCTTTTATCACCCTTGAAACAACACTATTACAAAATGTCCTTAAAAACAAGTCAGACGACATCTCCAAAACAAGCCAGTCATGCGTCCTGTTTTTATTACAAACAGAGGTCAGAAGAATGTTCAACTGGAGATAGAAGGTTTATTATTGAATGGCTAAGATCAGAAAAGGTTCAACCCTGTTGGTTTAAGAGGACTTTCCCAGTTCTGTGACGTTAATAAGACCTAATTTACATCTTAGTTTGAGTACCTGGGTGATCAGCATGACTAATATATCAGGTACGGTGTTTTCACTGGAAAAGGAACAATCTGCAGCATGTAGGAAACCATCTGCTCTGTGATTCCACCCACAGCCTGGGGAACATTATGCTCAGCAACATGCATGGGATGAGTTTACACGGTTTTTCTCCCATCGAAATAATATATAAATTCAAGACACACTTAATATTATCAGCTTTCTGATGGCATTTTAGCAAAAGGATTTTTATCAAAAACATAATTAATGTGCACAAATAAGGAATAGTTGTATTAACCATATATTTAAACAGAGTTTTATGGGGCCCCCAGGAACTTGGGGGCACCTCTCCTGTAGTCTATGTTTATCTCCACAGGCAGTGCTGGTGGGACCAGAGAGGCAGCTGATCAACCTACCATCTGAGGCCAAATGATCAGCTTACAAGAAGAAGAACTTCAAGAGTTGACTGACGGATTTCTTGAGGTGCAACATACAGTTAAAGTTATGTCAGTGTGGCTGGAACCAGGCAATGCAATGTGCAACTTGTGCAATGCATAATGTGCAATTACTATTGTACAATAACCTGTTTCTTTATATTTGATACCCAGTGCAATAGCTATATATAAATATAAATATCCATCCATATGAATACCCATGTAAACACACTGTGCAATAAATCTGTATAATAATCCTGCTATTAAAAAATGAAATAAAATAAGAAAGCTGTCATATGTGGACGCACTGTTCATACTGTATATATCCCATGCATCTTTTTCTTCCTTTGGCGCCTTCTTCTTCTCTTTTTGAATATTTGAGCTGATGTAACGAGTAAATTTCTCCTCCGTCAGATCAATAAAGTCAATCAATCAATCAGGGCAGCAGGGCTTTATCCTGCTGATTTTAAAGGCTTGTCTACACTGCCATCTAGTGGAGATTAAGCATAGTGGCGTATATTCTGCAGTCACTCTGCAGCTGTGACATACTCACATATTACTGTAGTTTAGGTCGATGTACATTTTTCAGTATATTTTAATCATTTGAAGCT